CATATAAAAAGTGTTTTGAAAACTGCATCCAAAAAGTGATTTCAAAAATTGCATCTAAAAATAATCTAAAAAACTTCATTCATGGGAAAAAACGGCTTGAAGAAATTTTTCCAAAATCGATCGTAAAAATTACCCTAAAAAAATATTTTAACAGTGAAAATGAATCGTTGAAACTGCTTCTAAATATAATCATATAAAATTACTTCTAAAAAATTATTTAGAAATGAAATCGAAAAAATCTTAAAATCTGCACTCGTAAACTATTTTAAAAACATATGGAAGAACGTTTTAATTTTAAAAATTGTAAGAACTGAATCTAAAATGAATCTTAAAACAGCATCCAAAAAATCTTAATATTTTATAAAATAAATATTTCCCTACTTTGAGAAAACTAAAAATCTATTTCCGGATAAAAAATCTAAATTAATAATTTTACCTGCCCATATAAGCTATTTTTTTTTCTTTAAGTTTAAATCTATTAAATTATGTTCTTGATCTTAAATCGGATAAAAATTCGAGGCAGACTATCCGGATGTATTTTGAAAATTGCGAAATATTATGCAAATAATTTCTCGGAATGATAAATGTAATTTAGACAAAACTAGGATAATGTTCGCTTAACTAGACCAATTAACTGAAACAAAATATGGATGAGTTAGAGGAAGTAAGAAAATTCCTGATTTCTTTTTTAAATAAAGCTTACATTTATTTTCTTGCTTTCAACAGTTTACATCAATTATTTCGATTACGGTAGTAGTAAATAACTTGATCGATTTGGAGAAAAGCATTTACATAACGCAACGAAAAAAGAAAGAAACAATTATGTCATTCATTTTCTTTTCAATAATTACAGTCTTGAATAATATTTCTACAAATCGCGATTTGGCTTCAGTATTATATTGACATTCATTTATGCTACACTTTTTAAAATTTGGCACTCTATGAAGTTCTGTTTGTGGCATTTTAATGCCAAAATATTTCGTTTCAATGTTGCTCAGTTTTGAATTATATTTTGTAAGGACTGATTTTTAATATGAATTTGTTTTAAAATAATGTAGTTACAGTATTAATTTATTTTAAGAGTATAATGCTATCCAGATGTGTATTTTTTTATTTTTTATTTATTTATTTAGATTTATCTCTTTTGAGTCATTTCATCTTATTCCTTAACTATGACATAATAGGGTTGCTTAAAAATACGAGTTAAAACTTGTAAAACATTAAAAAAAGCTTTGGTTTTACTGCTTTAAAGCTTCATTGCCTTAGGTTAAAAACAGTTTTAAAACTTAGTTAGCAAAGTTTAATATTTTAATTTTAATTGTAAAGTAGAGTATGCAATCGAAATTTCAGTAGTATAACCTCTGTAACGTTCTTTTTTAGTAACGCAGCGTAGTGCAATTCACTTTTTGTATTTTTTTAAAAATTATATTTGTTGTATTTTTTTTATCATTTCGATAACTTTTTCATATAGCACCAAAAAGTGCTTTTGGTTCTTAAAGAGACTTAATTAAATAGATGAGATATTACACTTCAGAGCATGATTATTGATCATGCTTTGATAAAAAATGAGCAAATTATTCGTAAAAGATGAGTAAATTATTCGAAAATTAAGAAAAAAAGCTCAATTACTAAATTTAATTATTGAAAACAAAAAACTTCTTATTTTTTTATTGAAAGCTTTCAATGTTGTCATAGAGGAAATGTGTTCTGCTGTGAAACTAAAATTAATGTTCAAAGATAAGTCAAGAATTTCCCATTCAAAATATTATAAAAATTTATATAAAATGTAATAAAATCAATTAATAATAACGAGCTATGTGATTTCTGATATCACAAGAATATTACTTTAATTCATAGTTTCTAATGTTGCTGCAATGCTGAGTTTCTTAAAAAAATGTTTCCTTCAGCGAAAAAAAAAAGATAAATATGTTATGAACTTATGCTGAAAAATATTGTAATAAATCAAACATTATTAAATATATTAAAAGGAATTCATCACAACAAGGAGCTATACAATTTCTGTTATAATTAAAATATCATTTTAATCGATAGCTTTCCGTGTTATTGCGTTGAAATTGATCCTGTCGTCAAAAGAAACTAAATGCGCAAATATGATTGAAAAAAGTCTTGAATTTATGTTAAAAACATTGTGAAATTGTAATAGAACAAAGCACTGTAAATTTATTAAAATAATTTAATAATAGCAAGGAGCTGCCTGATTTCTGCTGACATTTGAAAATCGTTTTAGTAAACAGCTACCAATGTCAGTGCAATGATATGTTACTTTAAAAAAATGTATCCTGCTGCGGAAAAAAAAGCAAAAACCTGCAAAGACAAACAAGTCATGAATTTATATGCTCACAATGTTGCGATAAAACAAACGCAGTATAAGTCACATGACTATTCAACGGAGTGGGTGGTCAGCTGATATGCACGAAATCGTGATTATCAAATAATCTCAATCCCTAACTCATAAAAGTAACCATAATCTTATCTGTGTTATTTATTTAGCTGCTAAAACTAACTAAGTTATCTAAGTTGGTGAAGTAATTAAAATATTAAATCAGATAAGAATGATTGAATCTTTCGCTAAGAGTTTTTGTTTCAACTCAATTCCCGCCATTCAATTGCATTAATTATTCAAATGATATGCTAAACATATGCACGCGCAGAGAATTATTGCAGCTTTATCGTTTATCACGTGACGAAGGGAACTTGGGATTCACCCTTCATAAGATGGAAAAAAAAAAGAATTTTTTTTTCCTTTGTCGAAATCGTGATTGCACGCCTGATGTGTTCATCTTTTAAAGGAATAGCTCATCTCACGAACTTGTTTTTCGCTAATTCTCACCTAATTCAAATAAAAATGGTAATAAAGAACGGAATTTTATAGACGATCCATTAAGACCTTCGAATTCTATTCTTCCTCTTCTTCGCTTTTTAGGTTTTGTTCGAATGAACGGTAAATCTTACAATGCACAATGACGCATATGTGTCACAGTTCTTATTTCATTATTTAAATGTGAATGCATTTTTATTTTTCCCATTTTATTTCTACTATAATATTTATAATAAAGTAACACTAAAAGAAAACAAATAATTATAAATGTATAATGAAATAACATGTATCATAATTTGTTTAACGAAAACTGTCAAGACATATTTTATGCAAAATAATATCAAGCAAATGCTTGATATTAAATAATATCAATAATCATTTTGTATAAAATGCTCAAATAATCACTTTTAGTCAAGTATGATTCTGATTTTCAAGTAGAATTTCGGATTTTATTTATGTATTTTGGGGGGAGGGAGATTCTAATCAACAAATTTTCAATCTTTTTAATCTGTAAAAGAAACAAATGCACAATATGCAATAAAAACCAGTGATATTCAAAAATCTAATAGTTATAAACAAATAATTACAAGCATATATGTGAAATAATATCACTAATCATTTTGAACAAAATAGTCTTTCACTTTTACTCAAGTATGATTTTCAAGTAGAATTTCGGATTTTATTTATTTATTTATTTATTTTTTTGGAGGGGGGGGGGAGATACTGATCAACAAATTTTCAATCCTTTTAATCCGTAAAAGAAATAAATGCACAATAAGCAATAAAAACCAATGATATTCAGAAATCTAATAGTTATAAGCAAATAATTATAAGCATATATGTGAAGTAAAAATATATTTGAATTATGTGTAAAGCATTTTACTAATAGTTCTTAAAAAAATTTACTTTTGCAACAAGAAAAAATGGTAAAATTATAATTATAAAATAAATAAAAGTTTGTTTGTAGATATTGTTTATTCATGAATTTCGTGATAAATTCGAAAACCATTATAAAATTATATTTGATATTTAATGTTATCAAAAAAAATTTCCTTTAAATTTTTCATATTTTCACTAAAGTAATTAAAAGAACAAATACTTCCCTCACAAGTTATTTAGGTACATAAAACTGCATAAATTATTGATAATTTCTTTTTCTGAATAATATTTACAGTATAAAATTATATAATTATCAATAAATACTGCTTCAGACATTTTCTTTAATTTCAGAACAACAAATATAATGTAATTTTAATATAATATGATGTAATTAATATAATATAATGTTATGCAAAATAAAATTTTATATTATTACAGGATCAAAATTATAAACTAAGTACAATAATACACTGAGCATAATCTGTCTTTAAAAATCATAGATTAAAAAACATTCCCTTTTTTGTGAAAGCAACAGACATTGACGCTGTTTTCGAAGCTCTGTCACTAAAGAAAATAAAAAGAAAAAAGCCATAGTTTAAGTGCCTTGCACTTAAAGCAATGCGATGATTTTAAACCATATATATTGTCGTGAAAATTTATCTAGGCTTTAGAACAGACAAATAACTTAAATATTTTAAAAGTTATTGAACTTTTTTTTTAAAAAAAATGCCAATTTCGCGACATTTTTCCAACTTGATGAAAATTATCAAAATCCCGTCCATATTCACAGTTTTTTAAATTTTTTATGAGTGCAGGCAAAGCAGCATTGGAATAAGCTTTCAAGCATTAAAAAATTAGACCACAAACACTTTTCATTTTCACAAAACTGTAGCTTTTTTCCATATTGACGCTTTGCGCCATTTTCAAAATAAGTAGAGACAACGCTGACTTTAGGTAGGCTAAACTTGAGTCATAATTTGCAGACTCACAGCAGTTATAAAAATAGTATATTATTCGCAAAAAAAAGCATCATTTCATCCATCGAAAAACAGCTTTAAGTAATTTTAAATTATCAGGAACTTTACATTATCAGTTTTGTTCTTTTTTTTTCCCCTTTCTAAATTTTAAAGTGAAACAGTAACTGAATTGAATTCTTGACTGTAACTGTATAAACGTATATTAAGGAAAAAACTATTTTTCTGTGTTTCATATTCTACCAGTATAATTTGTGTAGTCGATTGAACTACGTTTAATAGGTTCCGTCCTATATTATCTTATTCAGGTCCACGCAGAGCCAGGTCCAAAAAGCCCAAGAACAGCAGCGAACAAGACCTTACAGATGATGATGAAAGTGAGAAATCTTAAAAATTATCAAAACCAAAATGTTGGAGCTGGTTCAAAAAATGTTCCAAAAAAGCATCAGCGATGAATGTATTTTGAACCATTTTCAATTCATAAATCAGGCTGGCAATAAAAGATTACGAACGCGATTTATTTCGATGTTCTCAAATCAGTTTTATTAACCATAGAACAAGGCTACATAAATTAGTTATAGATAGTCACAATTTATAAATAAATTAGAACTTTTTTGTTAGATTTTTGGCAGAAGTATTTTTATTGTTGCAGCTTGATTTTGTTTCTGTTCCTTATTTTTTTTAATAATAAAAAAATTATTTTATTTTTGTACTGTATTATAATGTTTATTTAAAATAAATAAATTCATAACAGAACAGTTGTTTTAGGAACGCAATTAAATTTATTTTTAAAAGAAATATTAGTATTTAAATCGTTTACAAAAAGTGTGAAATAATTATAATTTTTATGTATTTTGAATATAAATATACGATAATAATATTTATGTTAAAAAATTTAAAATAATTCATCATTTATTTTAAAAGTTTTATTGTTCCTATTTGAGTTCAGATAGGTTTAATCTCTGACTAAGTTTACATAGTCATATATGTATTTAATTTGAAACTTGATTTTAATACCTCGAAAAGAACTACATATTTTAAACTACATACACTCTAAAAAATAAAACTCTCACTTTTAACGATTCAGCAATATTTGAGCTATATTTCGTTAATTTTGAGAATCATTTTGTCCCGAAATCGCGTTATTTGTGACGAAATGTGAACTCTCAAATATATGACGAAAATGTTTCCTCAACTTGGAACCTCCTCGCAGTGTATTTTGGGAGTTTGTTAACTGAAATGACGAAACTAGGATGAAAACAAGACGATCGGAAATAAAAGGACGAAATATTTCTTTACTTTTGACGAAATTCGTTTCTCCGAAAAAGTGAGGATAATTATTTCGTCACTTGGACGGAATTTTCGCTCAGACCATATACCAGGAAACGGTTTCGTCAAAAAAGAAGAGAGTTTCCTGAAATTTGAGTATCCACTGACTGAGTATCCAAGAACTGTTTACTGTTTAAAACTCTTTCAAAAATAGTTGATTGCATAATTGTATTGGTTTAATTTTGAGTGAAAAAGTTACTAGAAAATATAAATACTACTCGTTTTATATCTCAAATTTTGAGTGACAACCATATATTTTAAGTGTAATGAAATCTAGTACCGAGTAGAGTAAATATCCATCATTAGTTTATTTGTGAAAATTAATTGAAAAGGATTATAAGCAAAATTAGAATTTTTCTTCCCCGCCGTCTACAATTGAGTTCGGTTGAGAAAGGAAGGACCTCTTAAAAATAAAACTTACTTATTAAAAACAATATATCTTAAAAAATAAACTTACATCCTGACCTATTTTCAAATCTATATATTTTTTGTTCTATTTTGCATAAATCAGTTGAAGTTAATCGTATAAAACCGTTATAATTTCTTCAAAAATAGTTAATAAAACTTATATTGATTTTCAACATTTTAAACTTAGTGATGATTTTATCATATAACCAAGATTTAGTTTTGTCTTTTTACTTTGTCAAAGTTGTCCGTACTGAAAAATATATTTTTAAATTTAATTCTTTATTTATTTTTTTTTTAAGTGTAAAAATTAGACTTGTACAATCACTAATAATAAAATCTCAATTTTATTTACGCATTTTTCCTGTTTATTCTTTTTATAGCTATTAACAGCAACTTTATCTTAATTACGACGCAGATATTATAATAAGATTACTATATATTCAGGCGGTTTAGAAAACAACATTTGGTTTTTCTAGATCTGATTCCTTTACAATAAAATTTATATAGAACCAGATTTTTATTTTTTTGTTAGCATTTATTAATAAGAATTAGAATAGCAAGCTAATTACTTCTTTACTATCAAAAAATAATAATTAAGAAAATCCCAATAATGAGCATATTTTTCATTACTTTAGTTTAAATTGATTATTTTATCATTTGAAAAACATTCAGTAATTTTTCATAATATATTTAAAACAATTTCATCCCTATGAGAAAGCTCTTGAGATCCCATACACTGAGAAAGAAAGTATGGTTGCAACTACCAGATTATGGTAAAATTTACCATGTTTCTGGCTTTGTGGCAACACCAAAAAACCCAAAATCTTTTACAGAAGCATTCGGGTAATAATTTTGGTAAAATTAACAATAAAATATAGTTTTGTGATAATGTTAAAATTTTATAAATGTGGTAAAAATTTGGTAGTTTTATCATGATACCTTAGACCATGGCCATCATGGCATAAAAACCATTAGCTTACTTTTCTGCCTTGTATTTTTACTAAATTCGGGGTCATAATAACCATAATTTTTAAAATCAGAATTTTCATGAACTGTTACCACATGAAGGGTTTAATTACATTGACTTATATATTGGCTTTATTACCAAATTTGAGTTTTTTTTTTAATTAGAAATGTTTAACCTTACAATATAGTAATTTTCACTGAATTTTTTTCTCCACGTACTAAGCTAGAAGAACTCCCATTATATTATCAAAAAGTTATGTTAATTTTTACAATGAAAATAACCTTGAAATCATAGCCTACAAATATGTTTTCGGCATAATTTCCGTACAATAATTATATGTAACATATATTTCTTTAAATTGTCGAATTCTAACAGGTGCACTGACATTGACATTAGCTTTCGAATCTTCAGTGTTCGGAGGGAAGATTGAAATTCCATTGGGAAGCACAAGAGCGGAGAGATTAGAAATGTGTTGTGTTTGAATTACCTCTCACCACCCTTGTCTAGGTATTGAATGCGTAGCAGGTGGTGTATTGGCAGAAGATTTTTAGATTGAATTTGAATTGAATGCAAATTGTTGTAGAGAGAAAAAAATTGAGTAATGAAAATTTTTTATTTTAGTAAGTTTTCAAGGATATGAACACATATTAGCGAGCTGTTGAAAGATTGTTCGGAATGCGAACATTAAAAGTTTGAAGTAGATTGAGTACTATTCAGGTTGAAAATTATAATTTCCATACTTTTATTAAAGTTGTATAAGTTACATGAAAGTTTTGTAAGGCGTAAGGTTGCTTGTACTTCTAATAATAGAAATGTATCATATTTGAAAATTAGTTTGAGATCCTTAATATTCATTAAGCACATATTATTAAATACTGTATTCGAAAATGTATTAATAGTAATTAGCTTCGATTTATTATTATTAACAATTCATTATAAAATATTTATTGATTTTTTTAAAATTATCATTAAAAAACATGTAAGATATTTAAATTAAACCCTTAAAAAAGTGTAAAATTACAAGATTTTAAAATACTAAGAAACAAAAATTATAAACGAGATTTTCCGATAACATTCATTTTTTTTTAATGACAAATTTTATTGGATAACTTAAAACCTGTACATAGATTTGCTAAAATTAATTACGATTAGCGTTAATTTTAAACACTTACGACCATAGAAGAAAAATAAATACAGCATTTCACCAGACAATTTACATAACATTAAAAAAATAATTATTGCTTGAAAATAACGAATTTTTGCTTTATTTAGTTGATTCTTTTTCGTTCTTTTTTTTCTCTCTTCTTTTATTTATTTATTTTTTTTTTTTTACCATAAATCAAATAATAATAATTTATATTTACTACTTTTCACGCATGAAATCAGTAGTTTTATTAAAAGTTAAGTTAAACCTAATAATAAAAACGAATGTTTCCCAATTCAAAGAATAGAACATTTTTCATAATTTTTAACTGATGAAAGCACATTTTAGAAATAATAGGTAAAATAACAAATATATGATAAAAAGTATAAAATGCCATTTTTGATCCACTCCATTTTCTTTTTTATTTAATTAATATATCGTTCAAGCTCCTGAAATGCTCGTCATTGCTTCTTAATATCACAAGCCATAAACACACAGTGAAGAAACATCTTTAAATCTATATCTGTGTATTTCATAATTTACTCATTCCCGTGATTCTTTAACTGCAGCCCACTTCAAACACGATATCGAATATCGAACGTTTCATTCGAAAATTTTTCCACCGATAAAATAGGTACAAATAAAAAAGCAAAAATCCCAGCCCCCATCGGTTTATTTGGGGATGGTTCGAAACGATTTTAATAAAGGAAAGAAAAGGGACATGTAGTGGAAAGAAAAAAAAAAGAAAAAAAATTGAAGCGAAAAAGGTGAGTGGTTGTGCTCCAAATCATTAATCTCGGAAAGTAATAGCATCAANTTTTTTTTTTTTTTTTTTTTTTCTTAAATGACGAATTTTATTGGATAACTTAAAACCTGTACTTAGATTTACTAAAATTAATTACAATTAGCGTTAATTTTAGACATTTACGACCATAGAAGAAAAATAAATACAGCATTTCACCAGACAATTTACATAACATTGAAAAAATAATTATTGGTTGAAAATAACGAATTTTTTGCTTTATTTAGTTGATTCTTTTTCGTTCTTTTTTCTTCTTCTCTTCTTTTATTTATTTATTTATTTTCTTACCATAAATCAAATAATAATAATTTATATTTATTACTTTGCATGCATAAAATCAGTAATTTTATAAAAAGTTAAGTTAAGCCTAATAATAAAAACGAATATTTCCCAATTCCAAGAATAGAACTTTTTTCATGATTTTCGACTTAATGAAAGCACATTTTAGAAATATAGGTAAAATAACAAATATGTGATAAAAAGTATAAAATGCCATTTTTGATCCACTCCATTTTCTTTTTTATTTAATTAATATATCGTTCAAGCTCCTGAAATGCTCGTCATTGCTTCTTAATATCACAAGCCATAAACACACAGTGAAGAAACATCTTTAAATCTATATCTGTGTATTTCATAATTTACTCATTCCCGTGATTCTTTAACTGCAGCCCACTTCAAACACGATATCGAATATCGAACGTTTCATTCGAAAATTTTTCCACCGATA